ACCTTTCAGAAGAGTGGCAGTTAATGAGGTTGAATTGGAAAACTGAACCAGTAACATGTTCTGGTTCACACTCCCTTTTTCATGAAACACAATTGCCATTATCCTGGAAGTACGTAGGAAGGAAAGTCAATCTTTCTCTCACTATGGCTGTTGGCTGAGTTCTGATACTTTGACCAGAGGAAATATATAAAGTCACAATTGTAAGTATATGGTCCACCAAGGACTGCTCTTATCTCTACAATTTAAAGCACTTGACCTGTGGGGTTAGCACGCCACATGATGTAATGCACCACCACGCTGTTCGGCGCCTGTCAGTGTGATTTACTGGGCTGTGCAGTCTAGGACACGATGAAAAAAGAATGCAATTGATGGCAATGGAAAAGACATGCAAACAACAATCTGGCTGCTTTAAAAAAAAAAAAAAACCCATAAACTAAGAACCTAAATTTTTTGTGTTGTCAAATGACATTCCTATGACATAATTGAATGTCTGCTTAGTTTCCTGTTGGTATAGACAGTGTAAGGAAATGAGAAACGCTGTGGTAAACTAAAGGAAATGAAATGTGGAACTGATTTTGTAAAATAACTCTTCCAGAATGCAGACGCGAATAACACAATGATGCAAATGTCAATGTTCAAATAATAGAGGAATCTGAAGAAAAATTTAACCTAGGCAATATTCAGTGCATTCATTAAATTATCAAAGAAACAAATGTTAGACTTGCTTACCTTTATTTTGTAACTTAAAATTCCAGAAAACAATAATGTGATAACTAGATATTTTAAAGTGGAAAAGAGAATGCAACAAGAATTCTCTGTAAGCTGTTGTCCGTGTGTAAAGGCAGCAGAAAAATCTGCTTGTGAGTGGCTCAGAAAAGGTACCAGTTTCTAACTGTAGAAATCAAAAAATAGAAAATAATTTACCTATGAATATATTTAAACATAACTTTTATCATTATATAAACATATTTTGAATGAAAGTTGAGCAGAGATATAAATTCTGTCCTTTTTTTCGTGTAAAACAATAAAAATGCACTGATTAGTACTTGAATATAACTAATAACGCATGTTAAATATACACCTTTGTAAAACACTCATAAAATTAAAGGCATGATATGTACCTCAAAATAACTGGAAAAGATCAACACAAACCATGCATAATTAATTGAGATTGCAGCATATAAAACAAAGGATAAGCAAATGAAAAAGCATAAAACAAGGGAACAGAAGACCAGCTACTACTCAGGAAAACAAATTTAAATAGTTTAGATTCTTGTATTAAAGGTTAGACATTACGCTTCAGTTAAAAATAAAATCCAACTATTTATGAGATACCTCAGAAGGAGAAATATTTATAAAATGTTAGCAACTTTCAAATACACAACACACTATTATTCATTATAGTTACCAAGTTTTATCCTATATCCCCAGGATTATTTTAAAACTGGAAGTTTGTATCTCTTTATCACCTTCACCCGTTACCCTCACCCCACACCCTCCACCACTGACAACCACCAAACCATTCTCTGCATCTATGAGTTTATCCTTATTTAAAAAAAATATATATCACACATAAGTGAGATCATGCCATATTCGTCTTTCTCTGACTTATTTCATTTAGCATAATGCCCTCAAGGTCCATGTTGTCTCAAAGGGCAGGATTTCCTTCTTTTTGATGAATGAACAATATTCCATTGTATATACACCAACGTTTTTAATCCATTCATCTATTGATGGCCACTTCGGCTATTTCCGCGTCTTGGTTTTTGTAAAAAGTGCTGCAGTGAACATGGGGGTGCAAATTTCTAGTTAGTGTTTTCATTCTCTTCAGATAAATGCCCAGAAGTGGAATTGCTAAGTAATTTGGCAGTTCTATTTTTAATGTTTTTGTGAAACTCCATACTGTTTTCCGTAATGGCTGCACCAATTTGCATTTCCACCAACAGTGCACTAGGATTCCCTTTTCTCCACATCCTCTCCAACACTTATTTCTTGTGTTTTAGATGATAGCCATTCCAACAGGTGTGAGGTGATGTCTCTGTGGTTTTGATTTGCATTTCCCTGATGATTAGTGATGTTGAGCACATTTGCATGTATCTGTTGGCTGTCTGTATGTTTTCTTTGGAAAAAATGTCTATTCATATCATCTTCCCACTTTTTAATAGGATAATTTGCTTTTTTGCTAATGAGTTCTATGGGTTCTTCATACATTTTGGATATTAATTCCCTAGATATATGATTGGCAAATATTTTCTCCCATTCCTTAGGTTGCCTTTTCATTTTTGTGATGGTTTCCTTTGTTGTATGGAGGCTCTTTAGTGTGATGTGGTCCCACCTGTTTGTTTGTGCTTTTGCTGTCAGAACCAAAAATGTCATCACCAAGACTGACGTCAAGGAGCTCACTGCCTATATTTTCTTCTAGGAGTTTTATGGTTTCAGGTCTGACATTCAAGTCTTTAATCCATTTTGAGCTGATTTTTGTGCATAGCGTAAGGTAGTAGTTCAATTTCATCCTCTTGCATGTGGCTGTCCAGCTTTCTTAAGACCATTTATTGAAGAGACTGTCCTTTTCTCTTTCTTGGTTCCTTTGTCATATGTTAATTGACCACACATATGTGGGTTTCTTTCTGGGCTCTCTATTCTGTTCCATTGATGTGTGCTTGTTTTTATGCCAATACTATGCTGTTTTGATTACTATAGCTTTGTAATAAAGTTTGATATCAAAAAGTGTGATGCCTCTGGCTTTGTTTTTCCTAAGATCACTTTGGCTATTTAGGGTCTTTTGTGGTTCCTTACAAATTTTAGAATTGTTCTATTTCTGTGAAAAATGCCATTAGAGGGGCCAGCCCAGTGGGGTAGTGGTTAAGTTTGTGCACTCTGCTTTGGCAGCCTGGGGTTCACTGGTTTGGATCCCAGGTGAGGACCTAGACACTGCTTATCAAGCCATGCTGTGGTGGCATCCCACATACAAAATAGAGGAATATTGTCACAGATGTTAGCTCAAGGACAATCTTCCTCAAGAAGTTAGCTCAGGGCCAACCTTCTTCACCAAAATTAATATATATATAAATATAAGCCATTAGAGTTTTGATAGGAATTGCATTAAATCTGTAGATTGGGTAGTATGGACATTTTAACAATATTAATTCTTCCAACCCATTAGCATGGAATATCTTCCCATTTATTTATCTTCTTCAATGTCTTTCATTAATGTCTTATGGTGTTCAGTGTACAAGCCTTTCACCTCCTTGGTTAAATCTATTCCTAGGTATTATTTTTGATGCAGTTGTACATGGGATTGTTCTCAATTTCTTTCCGATAGTTTACTGTTACTGTATAGAAACACAACTGTTTCTTTGTATAGTGATTTTTTTTCATCCTGCAACTTTACTGAATTCATTTATTTGTTTTAACAGTTTTTTAGTGTTTAAGGTTTTCTGTGCATTCTTTCTGCAAATAGAGACAGTTTTACTTCTTCCTTTTCAATTCAGATGCCTTTTATCTTTTTCTTGCCTAATTGCTCTGGCTAGGACTTCCAGCACTATGTTGAATAAAAGTGGTGAGAGTGGGCATCCTTGTCTTATCCTCACTCTTAAAGGAAAGACTTTCAGCTTTTCGGTGTTGAGTATATTGTTGGCCGTGGATTTGTCATACACAACCTTTATTATGTTGAAGAACATTCCTTTTATACCTGCTTTGTTGAGAATTTTTATCATAAATGGACGGTGAAATTTTTTTTTTAATGAATCTGTCCTTGAGTGCAGGAAAAGTTTTAAACTTAGTAACCTTTTAGAAAGCAGAAAATGAACAAAGTGCAACCTGGAATGATATCTATAAACTAATAATGCATGCTCAAACCAAGCTTCAAATGTTAAAGCTATTTAACAAGAGAAATGTCAAAAGTGAAAATAACACTACATTAAATAATTATCAGTCAGAACAGAAGAAATTATACCTGCATTAGTGACTATAAGCTTCTAGGCTTAACAGCCTTTGCCTATCTTGACTCCCTAGGGGGTGCAGGTGTTCAAGATTCTCTATCCTCATGACCCCCCTGGAATAGGTCAGAATTGTCTCTAATTATATGCATTGGGTCACATTTTCAGGAGTAACTCATAGTGTAAGGCACAGAAGTTGTCCTTCCAGATGTAAACCGTAAGAGAATAACCCAAAATGTAGACTAGGATTTAACCAAAAGGAGATATATATACACCTTATTTAAAATTTAAAAAACACAGGAAATAACCAAAAATTTTAGCAATAGGAAAATAAGTTATTGTAAGTAGATTGTTACCAATCATAATGAACAATTTTAATTGTATTCAGAATTAGGACACATATTAAATACATAGGTGTTTATAACATCTAATCAATAAAATGACTTAAAAAGGAAAGACAATAAAATTATCCATGATGATTTCTATTTAGCAGGAAAATATGATTTTTATTCCGTTTGTTTTTTCAGTTTCTGTGGGCATGAATTAGTTTCATAGAAAATTAGAATTTTTTGAAATAGAACTATATATAAAACAAAAATTAAAACAAATTAAGATATATGAGTATGTTTGGTAAAATGTAAAGCATTATATAAATATGAAATTATAGTTATTCAGGGAAGGTGATCCTGTGAACTAATTGTTTTATTAACCATAAGCTATTAAGCATATGCTCTCAGAATCAGTAGAGAATTGTTTTATGTTGTTTCAGTGTGGTCAGGGGAAGCAAGCATGGTTTTATACATAGTTGCCCTTGAGCTGACAAAGGGGTTTCACACAAGGCTTAAAAGTCTACTCTCGGGCCAGCCCTGGTGGCCTATTGGTTAAGTTCGCCACACATTGTTTTGGCGACAGGGTTCAATTCCCAGGTGTAGACCTACACCATTTGTCTATCAGTGGCCATGCTATGGTGGCAGCTCACATACAAAATAGAGAAAGACTGGCAACAGATGTTAGCTTAGGGCCAATCTTCCTCAGCAAAAAAACAAGAACAATTCCACTCTCATACTTACCTGGCAGGGGAGATACCATGATCACAAAGGTGGTTTTCCCAGAGCGAGGCTTATCCACTGCACTCTGGATATGCTGACCCCTGAGATGTCCTGAAATGTGGGAAACTCAACTACACAATTTATGGTCATGTGGGATTGTATTTGCACTTTCTCCTGGAATTCTTAGTTTTCAAAAATAGACTTATTACCTTTATATAAAAAAAAAGGTCTACTCTTTTATACTCAGAAAAGATTGGTATAACCCAGAAAAATCTATTGGTGTCTTGTTATGGGTAAAAAGAACTAGATTCAAGAAATGTTAATCCAAGTAAAAAGGCAAATGGGGTTTTCTGTTGAACTGTGCTCTCTCTAAGAGAAACCCAACTCAGGCTTCTAAGAAAGCTGTGATTTGAATAAAAGTTCAATTTTCAGTCTCAAAGTTTTCCTATAAAATTTCTCTGAAATTACTCAAATATGAAAAACCTCTCAAAAGCAGTCTAGATGAATGGCTTCCTTGTTTCAGAAAACATGTTGGAGGCAAGATCACTGACGTTTGTTTAATGGACTGCTTTACCAGTGCGGCAGGTGTAGGATACTGTGCTGCTTGGTCCCTGTGAACTAAACTGAAAGGAACTTTTGGTTGTACCTGTAAATCAGTTTGACTTAGAATTCTAGAAGCTGTCCTGCTGCAAGATGGGACACTCTAACAGCAAAGGAAAGGAGAGCTGGAGTAAGTCTTTATTATTGGCATGTATTGGGATATTATCTGGAGTAATTCACTAAAGTGTCTTTTTTTCTTCAGTATTTTCTACTATTTTAGTACCTCTCCCATTTGGGCTTCAGCATAGGAGCATCTAGGATCTTATGGGAGATTTGCCATAGCAGAATCTAAAAAGCATAGGACCAAAATTTTGCCTTTTTAAGTTTCAAAAAGTTCCAGGTGTAAGAAGAAAAAGAACTTGGATGAATATACAATCAAAGACATTCCCCGTCCTCACATCAGAAACAATTGCTGGATGAGGTTGGGACGGGAGTGGGGATGAGAATCAGAGGGGATTCAAAAGGGTGTTATTCTAATGGAAACCGTTTGTGGGATTTGAGAGGGCCTGGAATAAGATATGGGGAACTCGAGAGCAGAGGTGACCGGTTACCCCAGTTCATTTAGCCTTGGAAAGTGGTAAGATCCCACTCTGTGCTGGGAAAGGCAGAGGAACATAGACTAGGAAGGACTGCATGTCACCTGGGGGCAGTGGGACACTGAAAAAGCCTCATAGTGTTTCCTTTAATGTCATGGAAAACATCTGAATTTTTCTTAAAAGAAGCCCAGATATGCCTGAAACATATAGGACTTAGAAAGGTCATAAGGTTGACAGTGAAAAACAATGACACTTTGACTTTGGAGTTAGATACAGAAGTCCATACAAGACAATATACATGACTTAACAGGAACCACCATGGTCTGGTGAAGACTAAGACCCATGTCTGCAGTGGCATTACATTACATAGCCATCTGAAAGAATCACTCAAACCTAGAGATCATCTTCAATTAAAGAAAATAGAGTGACATCACTTGCTTAGTTGGGTTAGTGTCTTGAGATTTGTAACGTACAACCGCAATGTATGATCCACCAATATCCAGATAAACAGAGCTTTGGACAGCCTGCGTTTCTGACCATATTTCTGATCATTCCCCAGTATTTTTTCTCGATTGAGTTTTTTTAATGATATGTAAACATAAAAAAGAATTCATGAAAACATTGAAACAGACTCTAATGAAAGTTTTAATAAAAATAAAAAGATTTTACATAAGAGCAGTTTTTAGAGCATAAAAAGTTTAAAAAGAAATAGTATAGAATTGTATTAAAATAAATTTCAAAATATAGCAGTTTTATACACACATATACAAGTATTATAAATTCCCCATTGAAAGTCAAATGAATAAAAATTCATAATCCTGTTTTCTGGTGTAATTCTACGCAAGTAAAAGGATTTCCCATTTATATCCAATCGCTGAATCCTGCTTATTTGGCCTCCTGCATATTTCTCCCTAATTCCCTTTCTTGTTCATCCCTTCCGCAACTATAAAGACTTGTGAAGCACCTACTGTGTACAGACATTGTGCCAAATGATGGAGAAACACTGTGTATGTGGTTCCTGCCCTTAAAAAAACTCCAGTACAGTGTGATGAGGGTTTTGTTGGAGAAACACTGTAACAGCGGGCTCTAACTTAGCCTGTGGTCTCAGTGAAGAGAATGAGTGAGGCTGGAAGGGAGTTTTCTGGGCAAAGGGTCTCTGGGGTGAAGATGGAAATGGCATAAGAATGGGGCATAGCATGTGTTTAGTACCTGAGCAAGGAGAGGATGGGGACTGTCCAAACATGGCCAGTGTGGTGGCTCCAATAAAGCGAGAGGCAAAGTCACCGGAGAGAAAGCCGGAGCGGTAGAGAGGGCCAGAGAATGGACAAGCTAAGGACTGGTCCTAAAGCACAGGGAAGCCCTCAAAGGGTTTTAAGCAGACAAGTGACATAATCAGATCTATACTTTTAAAAGAAAAGTCTGCCAGTTGTGAGGAGAATGGAGTGGAGAAGAAGAGTGAGGATGAGACAGGGCGAGACTGGTTGGACAGAAATCTTTAAGAAGCTGCTACAGGTGAGGGCTAAAAGCGACCTGGATTAACGGGACTTTTTATGCACACATACTTGTACATATACAGAGAGATACATATAAATATAGATACATAAATATACTTGTACATTAACGGTTAGTTTCAAGTACCCATGGAATGGTTAAAGATGGCCAAGTAGTCAACACCATTTATCCAAAAAAGGGAAATAGCACTTTTTTGCAGTTAATTTAACAACATGGGCAAGAAGTACCTTAAGTAACAATATCTTTTGAAATCTTGTATTCCAAAATGCTCATTTTGCTTCATAAATTAGAAGATAGAATTCTTAGTCTTAGTCAAGAGACCACGATTTACTCAAGTTTCTCAGGCGTTTGCTGAAATGTCAGCAGGGGGTTGCCCGTTTCACTAATAGAAATGGCAGGTCATGTCTTGCAAGGCATGTGAACCGTTCCAGTACACTGCAGGAAAAATCGTTAGTGACATGCAAGAAGTCTGTCACTGTGTCAAGACCTTCGGTGTCAGTGTAGAAACACACATATCATGAATTTACAGGTGGAAGAATTGGCCACGTAATCTGCCTCAGCGCCCAGAGGGTGAGGAGAACCTGAACTGCATGCAGTAGGAGTTGTAGGATAAAGGATAAATGCTGGGGCCATTTTGTAAATTAGCAGGCTTTAAGTAATTATCTTTTGAGATGAGCACAGTTGACACAAAAGAGAAGATACCAAAGTTGAATACATTGTTGACAAACTCTACTTAGGTCAAGGTAAAGAAAAGGAAAGCAGTTGATAATCTGGAAATATTCACAGAAAAGGCTGAATGTATTCTCTGTTGCTACAGAAAAACAGGAGAACCATTATAGCCCAGGCTGAATTGTTAATCTATAAACTGTATATAATACCAAATTGAGTAAAAATGATAAGATTATAGCTAATGTGCATTTTCTGGCAGAACTGATGGAGGAAGTAATATGGACATGCACAGTTTGGTAATGACTGGTTATTAGGAGAATTAAAATCAGAAACCTATGTCAGTGTGTATAAAGCATCCACAGAATGCCTTGTGAGGCCTGTGTGGAGATCCTTACGTTCTGTTCTCCATCTGGAAAGACTGTGGCAACCAGGCACCATTTGCTGTCTATCTTACATCTAAGAAGGTACATTTTGAAATGGTCTCAGAACTAGTTGAACTAAAATGTATATTAATATTATGTATAAAATTTTATTTTCTGTCAATTATATATCTACTTTCCATAAGACTGAGTATTTAGAAGTAAGATCAAACTACTCTGAAGAAAAGTACAATTTGAAATTAGCTTTATCCATTTTCACGTCCACTTAGCAGGCTGACGTATATAATTTTCTGAATTACATGCCTCCGCTGTGTCTTCCTGTGACCAAGGTGGATTCAAACTACAGTGGCTGGCTAGATCGCTAAATCCCACGTTTCTTGACCCCACAGCAAAGACAATTTGATCCTCCACTCTCTTCTCATCCACCCTTTTCCAGGCCTTAAGTTTCACCTCCATTTTCATGGAATCAATTTTTACTTTAGGTTATAATTTAAGGAAGCTGACTTTCTTGGTTCAAATATTTTAGGATTAAATATTTGCATTCTGAACGCTTACATTAGATTCTATTTTCTGGAATGGGTCTTGTCCCCAGAACCTAAACTACATCCTGAAATCAGTTCCTCAAATATTAGTACTTTCAATATCCATGCTGTAGTACAACATCTTTAAAACTGGCATCATCTCTTAGGGTGACCAGACCTTCCAGCTCTAGGGGTGTAAGATTCCACCAATTAAGAACCTACTTTCTGCTGTTTGTTTCCACAAATTTGAATGTTCCTAGATATTACCATTCCCTGCTACTAGCTGGCAAACTATTTTATCTGCTGTGAGCGACAGTGAAATATCCTCCCCAGGACAAACCACAGAAAGATCAAGCAATGATTTTAGCTTTATATTCTACACAGTGAGCAAAAAGGCCACAAAATTTAGGCGATGTACTCGCAACATGGTAGGGACCCCATCTACCTGGTTCCCAAGCGCCCAGAGCAAAGATCCTTGTTGGAATGTATTAAAGAGTTTGTTTGACTTGTAGAGTTTGTATAGTAAGCTGCTGAGACTTTGGGATTCGGTGCCGCAGCATAACTTTGCCAATGTATGTGGAAAAGAATAGTAAGTGTCTTGACCCTAGTGATGGTCTCATGGGTTTCTCCGCATCCCCAGACTCATCAAGTTACATACATTAAACATGCACAGCTTCTTACGTACCTGCCATATCTCAAAGTGATATAAAAACTAGGAAATTTCTACTGTCTGTAGATTTTAGAATTGTTGAAGGAAAACGCTAAAGAATGAGTAGAAGGTTTGTAAGTGAACTAAGACAGGGAGATGTATTCCAGGCAGAAGAAATAACAAACATTAAAGCAATTACAGAAAAATAAGAGGAGAGAGTGTTTAGAGACCTGCAATTATTTGAGAATTATTTTCTCCTCTGCTTTCCCATTATACTCTATCTCTGTCACGGTTTTTTCTGTGTTACCTT